ATCAACAAATAGTGAGCTACCTTTTCAAAACTACAAATTCTATTTTGAGATAGATCGGTCTGTGTCCGAAAACTGCGACTGTCTGAGAACTGGAGCAGTGAGTATGAATGAGACACACATGATGGATGGCTACTTCTATGTTGAATATGAAGTACTTTCAAGAGAATATTGTATGCTTTCAATTTCGCTGACACAGTGTAAATCCTTTTCACACCGAGAAATATTAGCACTGCCCGCCGTTTTTTTCCAAGCATTTAGTTATTTCCGGTTACACATCTTTTCGTCTGAAGTTTATATTGAACATTGAGGTCTTATATTGAACATTGCTCGTACATTTCAACTATATTTTTACATTGTACATTGTATTCAATCTTCACCATATTAGCATGCAACTACACTTGTATCCACATTGCCCGCTTATGATTTGTTGAGAAGTACCGTAAGTTGAGTACTTAATTTGTTTTCAAATGACGCCCCTTACGAACAGAATGATGAATTATTCGTTTTTACGTTTACATCATTATTTGGGTGTTTCTCAAAAAGCGTGACTTGGGTTCGAAATATTACGTTTCGTAAACGTAATGAAATCGTATGCGAAACAACAAGATCTCGATGCCATTTTTTTCAAATCTAATATTATATTAAAATACTCATCCTACATCTATTTGTCATTCCTGGTGGATAGTTGACTGGGTAGTCAACAAAACTTGTTGATATCACCGAGGTAACTAATCTCACCCAATTATCGAAAACATGTGTTGTATGAATGTTCTAGTCAATCGTGCATGTCCGTTGGTTGTCTTACACGGCACCACATATCATTGACTCATATCATATAACGTAATATACCTATGTAATATCAAACTAGTGATATGTAAATTTAATTTCAGTGCCGAGCAAATTTGCCAAAGCAATGAATTGATGGAAGCAAGTGACACATATGTGCATAACACGAGGTTTACTCATTCAATATATGTGCGTCTGTGCTTCTGTGTGTGTAGGGTTGGGCGAATGTGAGGATGAGGTATATATATATGTATATGTATTCGTGTTTTTCAGGTGTATTATATAAACAACATACCTGGTGTAATGAATATATGATGGAAATATAATGGTCAAGTTTAGGGTTAGGGCTATCACTTGTAAATCAGGTTATGACTCTTTGACGGGCATCATGGGAACTATTTGGTTCTATTTAAGGTGACCACATGATTTGATACGTGACGATTTAGTTTAACGCATGGTGGGGTAAAATATATCACCCTGTTTTCATACCTCGAAACTTTTACTTAGACGAAATCGACACTTCACATACATTCAATCTCAATTTTAATTCGACCTACATCCTCGGATATTAGCAATTTAAACATGAGCCATTCGGCAATGCTATGTTAGTGCAATGAGTAACTTAGTTAATACAATAGAATTATGTACATCTGTGTTTCATACACTTGTTAAGAATATAACAAGCAATGGTTAATATTCAATTATTTGAACACCATTCTGACATCAGAGTTAAAAAAAACACAATAGGCATAACTAGCTTACATATATGTATTGACTCGTTAACGCCGTAGAATCATAAACCCACGCAATGTATTCCATATTTCCCGATAATTTTAATCGACCATCCCATTTAAACTTTTGTATGAAGTACATAGTAAATTTAGCGTGACGATTAGTGTTTTATTATATGGCCAGTTATTGTGACGTCTCTTCATTGGAAAGGAGGAAATAATTAGGAATTGTTGGACATATACGGTGTATACTCACTTGATCATATATAGATGATATCAATTTCGATTTATCCGAAAAATCGATAATTGTGATTTGTTTCTACGACACTTCTTGTCTTGTGCTAATATTGAATTTAGTCAAAGGAATGCTCTGCAAATGCTTCCGGTTCGGTTGATTGAATTGAAAGAAATCGATCCATCACGGTCTACCCAAACCGACTGGCATCGCATACTGATGAAAAAATAACATTCCGAACATAAAATATCAAGTATTCAACTCAACGAATCGACGTATAATAATAACCCCTGCGCGTCATACGGACTGCGTTTCCAGTGACAGTCCACTGACGCACTGGCTAAGTCAGTATTGCCGTTATTCATTGACAAGTGTAGTAGTAATGCATACCTCGTTCTGTGCGCCGGACTTCTCAGACCCTCACAGCAACTGTCAATTGGCGACGTTGTCAAGGGGGTAAACGCATTGTTAAAAGTAATTTGTATGTATTTATAGACAACAATTGACTGTAACGCCTTGTTGATTTTCAGTGCCAGTTAAACCATGCAGCCCAGCCAGTCGGCTAACTCGACGGCGCTTGTCAAGTGGACCCCTTAGGGCTGTCTTCATGATTTTCGCAAACCCGACGATCACGCACTACTGTCATTGTGGTTTTATACTTAGGAAACGAGGAAGCTTATTTTTTGCTACCCTTTTAGCAGCAAAACGTGTTGGTTGCATTTTGTGGGACATACATACCACATGGTTAAACAGTGTATTGACATGTCAGTTAACGATCATCCGCATGACAGCACGGTTTGACTTAAAATGCCAAAGCAGGCATTGTTAGATTAGTAAATAAGTATGACATTACTTATATGCAAATGGCAGACTTCTTCTCGCTCAACAGAGTGACGAAATTACGCATTGGCATTTTGACTTTTTGACTTTTATTGAATGGATCTTTTGGCCTTGCTAGCTTACATATAACTACGTCACGACAAATGTGGGGAAAGCCAGTTAAGGGGCGCGTGTGGGAGTATTACTGATTAAGACTCGGCCATTGTAACCATTCTGCAGGGGGAGAATTCCGCGAGACGTTTAAAAACGCTTGGAATCTTAACCAAAAAAAGAGTAGTGGAAACAGTAGTCCGCTCTTTGTATTACATTGCTGGACGTGGTCTGGGAGTCTGCCAAGCAAGTTCGGTCTTTTGTCAACAACGTCCACCCCTCTTGAAATAGCGTGTTCATGTCCCGCTGTTACGAACAGTGCTGGAGAACCATTCGAAGCTTTTCATGGCGAGTCTTCAGCGTGAAAGTTGGATTCTGGCAAGAGGTCAGAAAAGTGTGACATTCAGCTGTGCCATTAGTTGGTGCTTTGATTTGAAATCTGTCAATCCAGTCCGTGTAATACTATCTAACGCCGTGCCGTCAGGGCAGGTTTCATCCACCCATCAGTGTTGAATGCTATATAATGCTTGTGTCTAAAGGAACCTATCCTCCAGTAGACGTATATCACTGCTCATTCGCCAGCGTGGACTCGCCCTAACACCGTTTATCAATCACCATGAACCGAACTGTTTGTTTAGCTTTCTACATTGCTCTGGTGTGTTTATTATTGGACCTGATTGGCGGTGAAGGTAGGTAGGCCCGTACTACATTGATTCATTCATTGTGGTGCAGCAGTCAGA